GGAGCTCTGCTGGCAGGCAGACTAGAATAATTTAAGAACTTGTTAATGGCTCTGCCTGGGAGAAATTCATGCAGACACAATGTACTCAAAATCAAAAAGTAGGTAGGCCTGAATCATCAGCAGCAACCTCTCAAGTTTGATTTGAATTAGGAAATAGTCTGAAGAGACAGAATAACCACCAATGTCCTCTTAGTTAGAATATATGAGTTTCGGTAATAAATCTGTCTAAAACATGTATATAAAATATATGCAATATTCTATGTGCGTATAGTCACGTAGAAATTGCTTTGCTTTTGAAAATAAGACTAATATAGTAAGAATTTAAAAAATCAGTAGTTGTTATATCCTTTGTTGACATAAATACTTAAATTAGTATGTACTGAGTGTAATATATCTGAATTATTAACATAATTCTAAAAATACATATTGCCAGTGTCTTCATCTAATTTGCATGGTTAATTTCTTAAATTACATTCTTCAAATACAAGGTGTTTGCTTTATCCATGATTGCATTTTAGTTCTTTTCACACTACTCCCTTTTATCTAGGCCTAATATTTCAAACATGGAGCATACTTCTATATCTATAGCTGACTTTATTTCTCCCTTTTAACAGCTATTTTATTTAAAATCTTTTTCAACACTTCTTTATTAAAAATGGTAGTTTTTTATTGAAGTATAGTTGATTAATAATATATTAGCTTCAGGTATATAGCACAGTCATTTAATACTTTTTATAGATTATACTCCATTTAAAGTTATTATAAAATACTGGCTATATTCCCTGTGCTGTACAATAGATCCCTGAGGCTTATTTATTTTATACATAGTAGTCTGTACCTCTGAATCCCCTGTCTTGGCCTTCTCCCCCGTCCTCTCCTCACTGGTGATTGCTAGTTGTTTTCTGTATTTGTAAGTCTATTTCTATTTTATTATATTCATTCATTTGTTGTATTTTTTAGATTCCACCTATAAGTGATATATCAGAATACTTTTCTTCTCAGTCTGATTTATTTCACTAGGCAGAATACCCTCTAGGTCTATCCATGATGTTGCAAATGGCAAACTTACATTCTTTTTTATGACTGAATAATATTCTCGCGTGTATGTGTGTGTGTGTGTGTGAGAGAGAGAGAGAGAGAGAGAGAGAAAGAGAAAGAGAGAAAGAGAGAGAGAGACAGAGAGACAGAGAGACAGAGAGAGACAGAGAAATAATGCTACTATGAACACTGGGGTGAGTGTACCTTTTTGAATTACGTACCCAGGAGTGGAAATGTGAGATCATATGGTTCTATTTTTGGTTTTTTGAGGAACCTCCACACTGTTTTCCATAGTGGCTGCACAAATTTACAATCCCACCAAGAGTGTACTAGGGTTCCATGACTTATGACTTCACCAACATTTAAGTACTTCCATGATTCTGTAGTACAGCTTGTTTTTGTTTTGTATGAAACAAATACAATTTAAACACTTATAACTGATAAGATAAATGTAAAAAACCCTCAGAGATATGGTTACATAGGAATATAAACAATCCAGGGGGCCAGGGGATTATTAAAGACTTCTATCCTGAGGAAATAGAGTCACAAGTTACAGTTCCATGTCTTTTCCATATCACATCAAGCAATAATGAATGTTTGTCAGAGAAAATTGAAAAGCAAATAGATGGGGATGATTCCAAGGACCCACTCAAGCTTCTGGGGTTTTGTTGTTGCCCTGTATTTTGGACATGATTTTGTTTATGGAAGCAGATAACTATGCTATACTTGAATTAACTGGGATAAAGAAGAACCTGGAAATGTGTGGGGCTTATGCAGGGTTGGGAATGTGAGAGAAAATATGGGGAGTGATTTTAGACTCTTGCCTTGAGACCAAAGCTTTCTGAACCAAAGACAGAATGCTAGCAGTGCCCCTTTATTTCTGTTAATATATAGATGCATTTCCATTATTGCCTATTAGACATAGTGTATACTAACCAAATCAAATCACACGAGTCCTTTGCTATAAATACTGCAGACATTTAATATTATGTTAAGTTTTAATTAATGAAAAGGCTTTTCAAGGTGGTGCTGCTTATATGAAGTTCTTCTGCTAAAAGTCAGAGAATGTTTCAACTCTGAACAAAATCAATGTCAAAGCATCAGTTAACTGCCCCTCCTATGCCAGCCCCTCAAAATTAAAAAAAATTAGGAACAACCATGTATTTCTGTAATGTAACTTTCAATAATTTTAATTACATTAATCAGAGTTAATAGTAAGTTAGATTCTTAAAAAAAATCTATGCCAATAATTAACAAATATTTCATTCATACAAAATAAGGAAATCTATAGTTTTATAAAACACTGAATGTGAGTTAAAGAAATGGAAAGATATCCCATGTTCTCGGATTGGAATAATTAATATTGTTAAAATGGCCATACTACCTCAAGCAATCTACAGATTTAATGTGATCTCTATCAAATTGCCAAGACATTTTTCACAGAACTAGAACAAATAATTCTAAAATATATATGGAATCACAAAAGATCCAGAATTGCCAAAGCAACAATGAAGAAAAAGAATGAAGCTGGAAGAATAACCCTCCTAGACTTCAGACAATACTACAGAGCTACAGTAATCAAAACAGTATGTATGGTACTGGTACAAAAACAGACATATGGGTCAATGGAACAGAATAGAGAGCCCAGAAATGAACCCACAGACTTTTGGTCAATTAATCTTTGACAAAGGAGTCAATAACATACAATGGAGTAAAGACAGTCTTTTCAGCAAATGGTATTGGGATAACTGGCCAGCTGCATGTAAATCAATGAAGTTAGAATACTCCCTCACGTCATACACAGAGATAAACTTAAAATAGCTTTAAGACTTAAACAAGACAAGACACTGTAAATCTCTTAGAAGAAAACATTTGGCAAAAAATTATCTGATATAAATCTTAGCAATGTTCTCCTAGGGCAATCTACCCAGGTAATAGAAATAAAAGTAAAAATAAACAAATGGGTCCTAATTAAACTTATAAGCTTTTGCACAGAAAAGGGAACCATAAGCAAAATGAAAAAACCTATGGAATGGAAGAAAATACTTGCAAAAGAGTGAAACTGACAAGGGCTTAATTTCCAGAATGTGTAAACAGCTCATACAGCTTAATAAGGAAAAAACAAACAACCCAATCCAAAAATGGGCAGAAGACCTAAACAAGCAATTCTCCAATGAAGACATACAAATGGCCAATAGGCACATGAAAAATGCTCAATAATCGTTAATTATTAGAGAAATGCAAATCAAAACTATAATGAGGTTATCACCTCACACCAGTCAGAATGACCATCATTCAAAAATCCACAAATGATAAATGCTCAGAAGGGTGTGGAGAAAAGGGAACACTGTTGGTGGAAATGTAGTTTGGTGCAGCCGCTATGGAAAACAGTATGGAGATTCCTCAAAAGACTAAAAAGAGACTTACCATTTGATCTAGCAATCCCACTCCTGGGCATAGATCCAGAGGGGACTTTAATTCAAAAAGACACCTGAATCCCAATGTTCATAGCAGCACTATTTATAATAGCCAAGACATGGAAGCAACTTAAATGTTCATCAACAGACCACTGGATAAAGAAGATGTGGTATATTTATACAATGGAATACTACTCAGCCATAAAAAAGAATAAAATAATGCCATTTGCAGGAACATGGATGGATCTGGAGGTTGTCATTCTAAGTGAAATAAGCCAGAAAGAGAAAGAAAAATACCATATGATATCACTTATATATGGAATCTAAAAAAAAAAAGACAAACAAACTTATTTACAGAACAGAAAATTACTGATGGACATAGAAAACAAACTTATGGTTACTGGGAGGTGGGGGGTAAGGGAGGGAAGGGATAAATTGGGAGTTTGAGATTTGCAGATACTAACTAATATATATATATACTAGATAAATAATAAATTCATACTGTATAGCACAGGGAACTGTATTCAATATTTTGTATTAACTTATGGTGAAAAACAATATGAAAATGAATATATGTATATGTTCATGTAAGGCTGAGATACTGTGCTGCACACCAGAAACTGACACAACACTGTAAACTGACTATACTTCAATAAATCTATATATATTTTGTATATATATATACACACATATATATATATATACAAAAAATGATACTTTTAAATGGAGGTGGAAAAATGTGCCTATATAAAGGAAGCTAGTAACCAATTAAAAACTATGTATCTGAATGCTATATTGTCCTTATCATGGGCTAAGCTCTATCCTCCAAGATTTACATATATTAAGTAATTTAATTCTTGCAACAAGCTTATAAAATTGGAACTATTATTATCCCCACTACAGAGATGAGAAAACTCAACCCTAGATGCTTACTTCGCAGTGGATAATTGGGGAGCTGAGATCTGAAACTAATCCATGCAGCTCTAGAAGCTGGACACTTAACCACAATGCCAAAATCTCAGCACACCAAAACCCAGCAAACCCAAAAAGAGTAAAGCAGTAACTCACAACTGGTCCCTCGCTGTGTATTTTCCATTAAGAAAGCAGAAACACTGTATTTCAGATCTTAAATGTGTGAATAATCACATCAATTCTCCACTTCCTTTCCTGCGAGCATACAGTCTCAAACACAACTGCCTCCACTTCTGTTCTTTCTGTCCATATCGATCTATTAAAATGTGCTTCTTCAGAACCAAAGAATGAAATGAACTTGCACTACATGGACAAGGCAAAACGTCAATGACTCAGTCACACATTCAACACTTAGGAATTAAATTTTTCTAGTGTGTTTTCACTTTTAAAATACGACAAGAAAAGGGTCAGGCAATTCAAATCTTCCTTCCCCTTCCCTGGCAGCTCCACACTGAGAACACTGAACGGCTACTTTTGTATGTTGCATTCTTGCCAGTTAGTTCAATTTAGATGAAAGCTGTTGTTTCCTAATTCCATTTCACTGTAAATGACAGAGACAAATGGTCATATTACCTCGAGAGTTCCTTTGGCAGAATAGGCAGCATATGAGTAGAGCGGATCTTGGCTGCTGTGTTTCCTGGCTTCTTGGCTGCAAGGCTGGCCATTAGGATGAAAGCATTGGCCACTGCTTCTCAGAGTCACAGAGCTGGGAGAAGGGCCTGGCAGATTAAGCAGCACAGAGTAATTTACAAACTGTACATCTTCTAGGCCCAAAGAAGTCCACTGAGTCTTAATCTTCTTTGAAATTTCCGTGTCATCTTCACTTTTATATAGTTGTACCAAATTTCTGAAAGAAATTTAAAAAGTATGCTCTAAAAAATGGGAAAATCTTTATTCTTTTGAGTTATGATTGTTCAGTATATGAATTATTATTAATAGATGTCGGATATGAAAGATGAATGAGAGAGGACATTACATAAGAAACTCAGAGTTTGGTAGAGGTGATGAGCTTGAAAGGAAATTATATAAAATCAAAGCAGAATGAATTCAATTCTTAAATTAAGAACTAATAAAGCACTGTGGGACTACAGAGCAGAGAGCAATTGATGCCAACGAGTTCTTTCATTGGTTCTGGTCCTTCTATTGACATCAACATAATCCGTTCAAAACCCAGCTCCAAAACTAGCAGTCATGCTGACTGAGACAAGATTACATATACTGCGATGTGATTAACTCATAGCCACTGCTATTTAAAATGATTCAGAGGGATTTCTTTTCTCCTCTAGCCAGTTAACGGATGGGCGTAAGTCCACCAGTGAGTGGGCAAGACTTTTATTCTGCCATTTCTTTTATGAGTCTCAAATTCAAAGTGTTTTATGATGTAAGCAACACAACAAAACATTAAATGTTTCAAAATGTGTATGTTATACAACATGACCTCAAAAGGTAAATAAAATACTTCTGTAGCGGCTCTAGTGAAGAATTACTAATTTGTTCCAATGCTGAAAAATTTCTAAATATTATCCAGTGCTAAGCTAACATTACTGAGTAAAGGGTCTGTGTATTCTCTATTTCACTTTCAATTTAAACAATATGTACTTTTTGTATTACAACTTCTTTTTTTAATGCTATGAAAAACTGAATAAAGAATGTATAACATATAAAAATTATGAAGAATAATGGAAGAATGACCCAGCCTAGCAAGCATAACACCTCCAATACTATTGAAAGCCCCTAGATACTGTATTCCATCACTCACTCTGGCCCCAGGATAGTCACCAATCTGGTTTTTTTTGGTGGGCGGGAGGGCGGTTCTTCTTTTCTTTTTTATAGATTTAATATGTATGTCTGTATAAGTCCTTAATAATTCATTCCTTAGGCTTTATGGATTTTTACCTTTATCAATTGGTATCTTATATACGTATTCTTTTTTTTTTTACATATACTGACATACGACATTATGTAAGTTTAAAGCACATAACATCATGATTTGATACTTATATATTGCAAATGATTACCATCATAGCATTAGCTAATTCCTTCATCACATAACTATCATTATTTTCTGTAGTGAAAATATTAACAATCTACTCTCTTAGCAACTTACGATATGATGATTATAGTAAATATTTGTATTCTTTTGTGATTTCTTTACTCAGGATTATATTTCTGAGATTCCTCTAGGTTTATTTATCAATTTCCTAAGATAAGTATTTTTAAATTATTTTGTGTTTTATGATTGCAAACAATGATGCATTGATCATTCTTGTCCATGTTTCCTAGAAAACATATGTCAGAATTTCTCTAGGGAAGGAATTACTGCTCCATAGGGTATGTGCTTATGTAACTTTAATCATAAATGCCAAAATGCTTCTTTAAAAGGTTCTGATTATACTCCTGCCAGCTCTGTATGAATTATTCCTCCATTCCTCACCAATAGCTGGTGCTGCTCAGTATTTTATTTTACTTTATATTCTTACCAAGGGTAGTGGGTATTAAATTGTGTACCATTATTTGTTTAACTCACAAATACTGTCACTGGGTTGCAGGGTGTGCTGAATAGTTTTCCAAAGTTTTCTGTACTACTGGCATTATTTAAAAGGTCCTATTTTCAGAGTACCTAATTTTTGCAGTCCAAAAACCGTAAAATTGTGGGAGAAGGGTGTAGCTCAAGTGGTAGAGTGCATGTTCAGAAACCAAGAGGTCAGGGGTTCAAACTCCAGTACCTCCTCCAAGAAGAAATCAATGAAGAAACCTAATTACCTACCCCTCAAAAAACAAACAAGCAAGCCAAAACGGGTACAACTGTGTCCCACTGTGGGTTTAATTTGCATTTCCATGATGACTAATAAAGAGCTTTTCATGTATTATTTAGCCCTCCATGTTCCCTTTCCATGCAGTGACTGTCTGTGTCTATTCACCACATTCATGGAAGTCTTTATATAGTCTGGATAATTTTTTTTTAGCTCATATATATTCTACTTATCTTCTCCAGTTTTTGGCTTCTCTTTCATTTTCAATGTCATGTTTTAGGGCGATTAAATTTTATAATCTTAATGCCTATGGTTTTCAATATAATGGTTTGCATTTTTCTGATGTGCTTACAAAATCCTTCTGAAATGTGAGGTAATGAAGTTATTCTCATAACAGTTTTAAAGAATTCAGTTTTTCACATTTCAGTGTCTACCCAGAATGGGTGTGTGTGTGTGTTAGGAATGCATGGAATATTACTTTTTTTTTCTGAATCACCCTAGTTCCCTTTGTCACATTCTTCACTCATGTGCAATGACAGTTGTCATATATAAATTTCTATATGTGTGTGGGTCTGACTGGGCTCCTTAATCAATTCCATTAGACTTTTGATCCATATCCACAATGATACCCTATTTTCATTACTATTACCATAGAATATGCCTTAATATTCAGAATGGCAAGCCCTCCCACTTGTTCTTCCTCAAAAACATCTTCATTATTTTTTTCACCTCTGTATTCACTTTCTTGATCTGTTCTTTCGGAGAACTTGAATATAATAATTTTTGATAAATAGGTATTATTCTTAAACTACAAATTGTCTGTACTTGACGTTCTTATTATGGGAGAACTATGAACTGCCAAGTCAATGCCTTTAATGCTGTAAGAATTTTTAATAGTTCTTCTTTGAATAACAGCTCTTTCCCTGCTTTCTGCATCACTTGCTATTAATCCTTGAAGTTCTAGCTTTGTGGTTTCATCACTTGCCACAGTACTTTATTCCAAGTTTTGTTTCCCTTGCTGATTTCTCTCTGTCCTGTCTGCTCAGAATACCAGTGCTTTAATGGAGATGTGTGATACTGTATGCATCCTCTATGTGTTTTTCATAGTATCTACTTAAAAGTAGCAAAAACAGAAATGCACCAAATTGAGCACCTAACTCCTTACATAGGTAAGATGTGATTTCTCGGTAAGTACTGACTGCTATTCCCACATCTAAGAGGGAAAAAAATCTGGATAAGCAGCTAAGGATTATGACTCAAGTTCCTGCTTCTCCTATGGACTTACATTGCAGGTATTTGTTCAAAATTTATTGATATATCATTTTAGACATTATCTCTACCTGATAGAGATCATCTTATTCAAATCTTGTATAATAAGGTGGTTGACTGGATGGAAGGGGACATGTACTATAGTAGTCTGAAGAATAAAACTATTTCAGCAAAAATGCATCCTAAAAGATATTAAAGCTTTGGTATACACATGGTTATAAAATACTGGTCTTTAAAAATGTTGGAGGAAACATAATTTCTTAATAAATATTGTCTAACATTCCACATAATTAATAATCACCAGTTCAAGCCCAGTCTTCCTAAGATTACGTTTTAATTCTGCTGCCTTTAAAACTGTAGTTTAAATTTATCCAATTGTTTACTTCAGTCTTACCTCTTGCACTCCCCCAGCAAAAAAAAAAAAAAAACTAAAGAAGGTATATGAGTTCTACGTTCTGAAATTATGTATCCTTTAAATCTAAATTATTTTGAAGAAATAAGTTTTATTGATACAAATGGTTTGGTCAAGTGATTCTATTCATTAATCACTTTGAATTACTAAGAATGTTAAAATGTCTAAATTTGAGAATTTCTAGTTTTCTGACCTTTTTTCCCCACAGTACTTTGGGATTTATGGTGAACAATTCTGCTTTAATGAGGCAGTTTGCTATATTCAAAGAGAAATGTTATGAAATAATTAACTGCAGTATAATCTCAATTTACTAATTTCAAAAAAAGCTGCAAAACTAGGAGTATGTCACCTAAAATCACCAAGTGTTTGACCAAAAGTTGTGCTCTGCCTTAATTTTTAAAACAGGAGTTTGCACGGGCCAGTAGTTTTGGCAGGAAGCATAATGAACTGTCATGCCTGAGACTTGAATTTGGAAGTAACTTTGGCATTCGTGTTTCATTGGCCAGTAGAGACTGGAAATGGGAGGATTTTGGCTTTTGTAGACAAAATTCTGTTTCTATCAGTGTTCAACACCTGTTACTGGATGAGCCACAGAACAGCACTGGTGTTAGAACTGGAGGAAGCGATGCATGTAGTATTCCTAGCACTAGAGTGAGTGCCAAGATTACACTGTAAATGAACAAGGAAAGCAAGCATCTAAAGAAACACACGAGCATTACACAGAAAACAAACAGCATGCTTAGTAAGGGCCACTGAGATTTTCTTGTGTGTGTATACAATAACCTACACACACACCCCTACCATACCAGTGGATATTTCTCACATATTGAAAAGTCAAAAGTTTATTAAGGTTGTTATTTGATTTGGTATTCAATGTAGTTAATAAAATTACTTGAATCATGTGTTATATGCATAGTTAAATTGAAAGACTCTGTAGTGTGAACTGACTTATCTCTTAATTTTGTTTTAGAAACAGTAAGACTGAAATGCATGGTAAAACTGTATCACACACGATAGCAAGAAATTAAATGGTTAGGAGGGAAAGGCAACATCACCTCATCTTCCCTGCCAGGCAGTCATTATTACCATGCCAACTGAAAGCATGATACTTCTTCAACTACTTTCTTCCTTCTAAAGTAACATACTAACAGCAAATCATGTATTGAACCTCTACCACAGAGCCTGAAAACATTGTACGTAATGGTCTTATAGAAAGAGTCTCATGTAATGACTGTTACCATTCTAGAGATAAGAAATTTTAGGGTCAGGTAATGTAATCAAGATGTAAAATGTCCCAGATTAAATAGGTCAGATTTCTACTCCACTACTTTGTACTTTAGATTTCCACTCTACGGCACTGCTGTTTAGAAGGAGCAGTCTTCCAAACTTAGATGCTCTCCAAGAGAAATAAAA